TTGTTGCTATCGACTTGATCCACTGAGATCAAGCAAGACTTCTGCCCATTACTCAGCTGTGACTGACAAGTTGCTGGTGACGCCGCTACGGATGGAAATTGATTTGGGAAAACCTAAAACCCTTTCTTGGGTTTGGGCACGATTGCGCAGCCCTTGAAGCAGGCCGCAGCATGCCCCTTACAGCTGCCTTAGCTGAAATTAAGTCAACACCATCACCGAACAACAGGGTGCTGACTCTGGCAACCCCAAGGGTTCTCCTGCTGTGCTGGGGACGATGGGGCTGGCTACCGTTGTCGTTGGGCCCGGAGAAGCTGGTAGGGATGCCCTTGGGTTTACCGGCACTCGACCTGCGGGACCGGAGCTGAAGGTTTTCAAGCGTCTTCGTTCGGGACTTTCCACGACATTGTGTGTGTGGAAGAAACGGGGCATTGTTGTCACGAGCCTATGACTGAGAAGGCTCTGACAGGCAGTGGTGAACGTCGCACTTGCGTAGAGAACCAGAGTGTATAGAGTAACGGTGTCTCTCTACGGTAGAGCAAGGCAAGCCGATGGACTTGATGCAAAGAGACCAAAACTACCAACAGCAGCTTGGCGATGAATGTGGCGCTGGTTTTGGTGATCTTGCCGGAGGGATGGGGTTGTTAAGGGTAAGTTGTGGCTGTGGCAGTGGTACCTAGCGGCACAGATGGACTTAGTTTGACTTGGAGGGGACATGCTAGCTAGCTGAGGGATGCACCTTCCTTTCCAATCCCCAGAGTTTGTCAACGCGTGTCTAGAAAGAAGCTTCTTAGAAGGAAGGCTTGATGGAAGGGGGCTGACAAGAGAGTTTGCCCAAAGATGCTGTCAGGGGAAATACTGCCACATGTTGTTCTTCACTTCACACACACGCGGCGCCAGAGAGCATAAGCATCAAGGCCCAAGGGGCAGAAGGCAATCTCCGTCTTTAATGAAGCTTGATAAAGTCCTTGAGTCTCTACATGCAACATGCAAAGAGAAGACTTCATCTGAAGAGTGTTGGAGGATCATCCCGAAGACTATAGTACAAATACAAAGTGACATGTTCAACAGCGACAACTTGAGCTCGAATGTAGGTAGGAAAGAAGAGACTGGACGAGCTCTCGGAGCGGGCCCTCCGCGTGACTGGCAGCACTCAAATTGACTCGGTGTCATCCAAGTACGTACTCAGAGCAACATCAACCTCTCCTCATCCCCCAACGAACGTCCATCTCTCCTCAATCCACGCCCTTCCATGTTCCTTGCACACCTCTTTGACGGGCTCTTCTTCTCCCAACTCTTCTCCTCCAGCATAGACCCCTGCTGTGCGTCCTTCGTCTGAACGGGGTTTGTACTGCCATGTACCGACAGCTCCAGCACTACCCACCAGCACCGAGCACCTGCATCAGAAACCTGGAGATGTGCAGACTGGGGAAACGAGACAACTCATCTAGAGGTAGAGGTTGCATTTGTGGCGCGGCTCGACAGATGACGGATAGAGATGTCGTCCCGGACAGAAGAAACGGCGAGATGCCGTAGAACCACCCGTAAACGCCACCCTTCCAGAGGTCCGCTTCCGCCTAGTGTTGGCCCCAATCCGTGCGCCATTGTCATCACGGCAAAAGATTCACTCTAGACGCCAACCGAAAGGGTCTTTGCCCCCATGTCCTTGGCTCCCGTTTGGGCAATTTCCATCAAAGTACCGTACCCAACGAGAATCCGGGGCTTTCGCCAGGGACGTCCTCCCCTTGGCCTGCGCGCGCTCTTTCGAGCGAAGGATTTTGTCTTGATCCCATCGCAAGCTTGGAACAGGATGGCGAGCACGATAATGCCGTTGGTTGACCCTTCCACCACATAAGGGCATGTCCACTCTATGACTTGCGGCTCGACGCTGGGCACCTTGCAGCGTCGCCATTTGGGATGATACGACAAGCGAAAAGCAACAAAAGTCTATATACGCTTGGATTAGATATTGAAATGGAAGCTCGACTCCGTCACTTCGTCCATAGAAAGCATAATGAAAGGCATATATAGCGCCTCAAAGCTGGACGACCGACGAGTAGCTCCGAAATGGCCGGACCTTCTTCACGTCTGCCGTTTTCGTCGTAGCAGCGAACAACGCCACACAATTATGTACATATATCGGCATTTCGCTATACATAGGGATCAGAAAGCAAGCCGCTAAGACTGGCGGGCGGCGGGCAAGCCAAAGCCCTACAAGTCACGCCAGAGAGAGAGGCTGCGTTGACGTCGCTATGCCGGACCAACGAGACCGGGCAGCGGACGGAAGAAGGTTGCGATTCCAACAACGGCGGTGCGTCTGCTACTCGGCTGCACTCAGACCGAACGAGAGAACCTGAACAAGCAAGAAAAGCGTTCCGCCAAGCCGAATGGCATTATTGGCCGGGATGGCACAGTCCAGCGAACCAAGCTTGTTGCTCCCAATCCACTTTGGGGCCGCGCCGGTGGAGGTCTGGAGACGAGCCTGAAGACTGGAGAAAGCGAGCGAGACTCAGGCTTCCAAGAGACGATTCCCCATCTTCTTCTCCCACCTCCTCGTTTACCCCCAGGGCCCCAAATGTGCCGCGCCAACACCCCCGCCCTCTTCGCTACTTCGTACAGCTGCCACACCACGCTATCTTCGGCCGACGTCCCAACCCAAGCAACAGCGACTGCCATGTTGTGACTAGGTAGTTGTCCCGAGGCAGGCCAGAAACAAAGCCGAGCAAGACCATGGAAGCAGTGGAGATCCTATTCCGGTGGGGAGGAAAAGGTTTGATGACAGTCCATGCCGTCTTGTCACCGCCATGTCAGGCCTTGATCCTTCCAGAGGAATAGACCGGAAACGCGTTCATCACCCTCACCGGGCTGGCTCTAACCTTCACCTTCTTTTCCTATTGTTGATCAAACAAGCCAACCCAATGCTGAGCCACACACGCACACACGCACACACACTCATACAATCCCGTCGCTCCAAACCAGGACGAGATGATCCATCCTGGAAAGAAGGAGGATGGTCCATGGATGGGATGAGCCCGTCGTTCTAGACCGGCGCAGCATCTTTGGGGCATGTGGCCCTATTCCTCACCCAAAGATGCTCGTTGATTCTCCACATTGACACCCGTAAATGGCCGCCCGTCGCCAGTTTTCCTCTCGATGCCGTTCGTTGCTCCTCACCTTACCGTCGCCCATCGTCGAGCCATCACCCCTGTTCCCCTCATTGCAACCCTGCCCCGTCCTCGCATGCTATTATGTACAAGCGTCCCATATAATATAGCTAAGCCCGAGGAACCACAAAGTCACCATTTCGCTTCTTCCCCCCTTCGAGAACCTTACCTGACGCGCCGTTGGTACGTATGTACGTCTGTCTGTACATGCGCATGCGTTGCCGATGAGCATCCTATTCTCAGGTTTAATTTTCTTCTCAAATCATTCGCGCGTGTCCCGTACATACATCCATCCTCTCGCTGCCGCTGCGGCCGCCTTGTCTGTCACCAGCCATCCTCCTCCACATCTTTCGCCCTTTTATCCCGCCGTTTGCAGTATCCTACCAATGTAAATGCCATGGTCCACGTTATCATCCAGCAAGCAGACCAGCTAAACTGAGCAGTAACTCAACGGCTTGAACAGCATTCACATTCAATCGAGCAATCTCTACGTACATGCCAAGCTTCGGGTGCAGACCATCTTTCGGAGTAAGCCCAAGTGTACGTCGAGAACTGTGAGGGAGGAGGGCTCCGAGCCAGACCATCGAAACGAAAATCAACGTCGAATACAACGCCGTCGATACAGATTCGGAACAACCACCATTTTCGAGCTTCCGGATTGCCTTGATACTACCTCCTCGCATTTGGATATATCAACCAATTTGTTCAAGATACCCTCCACGCCGCAGCGCAACACGGGAGACACGGAACGCAACCAAACGATTCAACTATTTGGAACCTATCCATAACGGCAACGACCGACATTCATAAACCTTACGGGCTGATATTCAAGGGGTGAGTTAACTTGGGTCTCGGTCCCAATATTTCACTTTCACTGAAAGCTCTCCTTCGCTCAATTATCTTCTGCGCCGCACTCCTTCAAATACCCTGGCGCTTGTCCCGTCTTCCTTACCCTGTCACCCAAGCCGTCTGCACACCAACCCCGCCATGATTGTCGCTGCTCATTGCTGCGCCGTTCTCCAACGACGTTGCAGATCTTACGCCCACCACTTGTTCTCAGTTTAGCTCATATTACTATACCCCATGCCCATCCTTCCTCTCCATTCCGCCCCCTTTTACGCCCCCAAGTATCCTAAACGGCCTACAGCGGCGCTGACCGAGTGAAGCAGAAGTCACATTGTGTTAGAAGGCTCGCATATCATTTACTGTTTGCCCCCAGCCTAAGTGAGCAGCATCGCCAAAACTGGTTGACATAACCCATCCGACCTCTTCGAACCACCTCGCACTCTTATTCTTGTCCCTATCTGCATGAGAGAAGGCAGATAGTTGCTCGTTGTTCGAGTAGCACCATCACCATTCAGCCACTACATCGCCAACAGCGGGCTTGGTCCCAGCACGAAGAAGACAAGATGCTATCCAACCCGCTCCACCGCTTTTCGCCATATCATGGCATGCAGTCCAGCACCCTCTTCTCTAACGCCCACCATGTTCCAAACGGCCATGCCCACGCGAATGGTCTCGACCCCCTCGCGCCGAGCTCACACTATGCGCTGCAACAGATCCAGCAGCAGGTGGGGGGAGTACACAGCCCTCACCTCGCGCGAGCAGGTCCTCAGTCAACGAAACACCGCCAACATCCATACGGCGGCGGACCCGCGGGTCGTTCTGCTAGCACATCCGGTCCCGTTCGCAGGAGAATTAGCCGGGCCTGTGATCAGTGCAACCAGCTGCGTACAAAGTGCGATGGGCAACATCCCTGTGCCCACTGCGTAGGTAAGAGACTGGTGGAAAGATGATCGTCGTGACGCGGCGGAGCCGGGCTGGGCTAGATTGACTGACATGCTTTCAGAGTTCGGATTGGGCTGCGAGTACATCCGCGAGAGGAAGAAGAGAGGCAAAGCGTCACGAAAAGACCTTGCCGCGCAAGCTGCCGCACAAGCAGGGACAACAGGCGCAGAACAAGGCCCAAAATCGCCTTCCGACGACAATGGGCAGCCTTCGGAGCAATCTGAGCCCAATAATGCCAAGGCAGCGCCATCACTAGGCACGACGACATCTCAACACGGCCACATCAGCAAGGCCATGGACGAGCTCAGCGAGGACGCCATGCACCAAAGTCAAAGGACTGGTTCGCTAGATAGCATAGGAGACATGGTTAGCCACGAAGCCCACATGGCAGCTCATCACGGGATGGATAGAGATCAACTCGAAAGCCCGACAACTATGGATCTCAACGGCTACGGGAGCGTCCACGGAGGATACGACAGGCAAGGCCTGGGCGCACACATAATGCCGGGACCGGCCCACGCAGCGTACGGCCCAACTCAGGGCGGCATATCAGCATATCCCGACATAGCATATCCCATGCAGACGCAGAGCCCAACGGCATATACCAATGGCGCGCCATTCCGCATCGCAGCCAGCCCGATCAGTGCATACCCCCTGGGTGGTGAGCCGACGTCTCCTGGCTGGATATCCATGTCCTCTCCGCCGGCGGCGCAATACCAGTCTCACATGCCTCCGAGCAGCTACGGTCACCCCGGTCAACAGCAACTGCGATACCCGGTCCTGCATCCTCTGATGCCCCATCTTGGAAACCTCATCCCGGCGGCTCTGGCATGCGACCTGATCGACCTCTACTTCGCATCCTCGTCCTCGGCACAGATGCACCCAATGTCACCATACGTCCTAGGCTTCGTCTTCCGCAAGAGGTCTTTCCTCCACCCAAGCAAACCGAGACGCTGCCAGCCTGCTCTGTTAGCCAGCATACTCTGGGTGGCAGCCCAGACGAGCGATGCACCCTTCCTGACCAGCGTCCCCTCAGCACGGGGCAAGATCTGCCAGAGGCTGCTGGAGCTCACCGTCAGCCTGCTCAAGCCGCTCATCCACACACCTTCAGGAGACACATCACCGGTGACCAGCCCCGCCATCGATGGCGTGGCACTCGGCGGGCTCGGTGTTGCGCTTCCCGGATCCATCAGCATGGACGCGCTGACGGGCGAATCTGGCCCATTCGGAGCCGCCGGCACCCTCGACGATGTTATTACCTACATCCACCTCGCCACAGTAGTCTCCGCGAGCGAGTATAAGGGCGCGAGCCTGCGGTGGTGGAACGCGGCCTGGTCGTTGGCTCGAGAGCTGAAGCTCGGCCGTGAACTGCCGCCAACCCCTCTTTCCATGAACCAAAGCAACGGACACGACGGGGACGGCGCAGACGGCGAGGTTGAAGATGAATTAGCAGGCAGCGGACACCCGGGCGTCATCACAGAGGAGGAGCGTGAGGAGCGCCGTAGGATATGGTGGCTCACGTACATCGTCGACCGCCATCTGGCCCTGTGCTATAACAGACCCCTGTTCCTCCTCGACCTTGAGTGTGCCGGCCTGCTGCAGCCAATGGACGACACGGCGTGGCAGAATGGCGAGTTCAGACCCGCGCACGTCACCACAGACCCTAGCCTAGGAGGAGACGCCTCAATCGGTGCCGGCGGCGTATCGAGCGGCCGTGTGCGTGGTCCGCACTTTGAGTGTACTGGACACAGCATCTTCGGCTACTTCCTCCCGCTGATGACGATTCTGGGCGAGATCGTGGACCTCCATCACGCCAGGAACCACCCGCGGTTCGGTGTGGGATTCCGCTCGGCTCGCGAGTGGGATGATCAAGCCAGCGAGATCACCCGTCACCTTGAGGCGTACGAGAAGAGCCTCGGTCGATTCGAGCAGCTTCACCTCACGCGGGTCAATAACAACCTCAACCTCGATGATAACGGCGACGTGATAGTAGCCAACCCTGAGGGCGGTAGCGTAGACCACGGTCCGATTGTCGATATAGGCACACCCTCTGTCCACTCAGTTCACACAACCGCTTCCTCCTCACTAAATCGCATGACGGAGAGCGACATTCAGACTAAGATCGTCATGGCGTACGGTACGCACGTTATGCATGTGCTGCACATCCTACTCGCGGGCAAATGGGACCCCATCAACCTCATCGACGACAACGACCTCTGGATCTCGTCGCAGGGGTTCATCACCGCGACTGGCCATGCTGTCTCGGCGGCCGAGGCTATCAGCCACATTCTTGAGTTCGATCCAGGCTTGGAGTTTATGCCGTTCTTCTTCGGTATCTACTTGCTCCAGGGGTCGTTTTTGTTGCTCCTTATCGCGGATAAGTTGCAGCTTGAGGCGTCGCCTAGTGTTGTCAAGGCGTGCGAGACGATTGTGCGCGCGCATGAGGCCTGCGTTGTGACGTTGAACACAGAGTACCAGGTGAGCCTTTGTCTATTTTCCTGTGTCTTCTCTCATCTCAAAAGACCTAGTTGCTGACTATTCTTCTTTTGCAGCGCAACTTTAGCAAGGTTATGCGAAGTGCTCTGGCGCAGGTCAGGGGACGGGTGCCGGAGGATCTCCACGAGCAGCACCAGCGTCGACGGGAACTGCTTGCTTTGTACCGGTGGACCGGCGATGGAACGGGGCTTGCGCTCTGAGTTTCGGTTGGATCTTGGCCAGCGCGCCACGGCACACGTGGCATTTGAGGAGTATGGGAGCATATCGGAAGGGTTTATGGTAGATGAGAATACGGCCTATGGAATGTCAAAAAAATAATGGAGGACGACCGACGGATGGACGGTGTGCTGGAATGGACTACGGGTTGCTGGAAAAGAGATTCCATTGTTTCAAAGGGCCTGGAGCGAAGGGACAGGTACGGGAACCAGGGACGGAAATCCCGCCATTTGTTGCAAGTTTTTTTGTTCTGAAAAAGGTGTGCTGCGGCTTCAGTTGTTTTTATACCTTGAGTTGATTCTTGGGCTTTGCTATGTTGGTTTGGTGGTGTTTTGGTGGAAGGACAGCGGAATTGAGGATAAACAATGTACCAGACATGCTTCACTCGAGGCTTCTTCTAGGCCTGGGGAGCGGATAAAGACTTGATTGAGGAGAGTTGAGTAAAAAGAAAATCTGCTGTCTCTTGGATGATGACTGCCATCTTTGTGAGTCTCAATTATTCGTTGACGTCTCAAGCCCAACCTCCCAGAATGTGCTATTCTAGCCAATGTCAGTAAACATTAGTGAATAAAGAATATTGAATGTTTATCTATGGTTAGAACCCCTTGCCGTTAGTTGGCAGTATTAACATATCTGCCAATCAAACACGTACTTATAGAAAAGACAGAAATAAGCAATTGAAGCCTACACTCGGGCCCCTGAAATCGACACCCACACAAGGTGACGATACTCCCACCAATCGCTCAGTACGGCATGAGAAATAAAGAAAACACAAAAATCGAGACACCAAAGGCGACAGAGTAAGGTTATGGCATCAAAACGGTCACAATCGCAAAAGAAATGCGTCGAGGGGGAATCGAACCCCCGGCTCCCCGACGCTGCTGGATGGCAACGGAGAATTTTACCACTAAACCATCGACGCGGCTTATGATTGAATGATGGGTTGCTTTCGCCGGCAGCTCATAGAGCCCCCGGTTTGAGAGGGCGGCCGCGGAATCGAGTGCCCGCCCCTCTGTGGGCTGTCTGACCGGCAGGGGGGTGACGTACCCGAAAAGCCGGCAGGCGATATCGGCGGTCCCCTGGGGCCATGGCGCAATTCGCAAAAGAGCCGAGGTGGAATGTCGTCTGAAGACCCTCAGCGTAGTCTTTTGCCAAGTTTATGTGACAGAAAAGTCTGGGAAGCAGAAAGGCTGCGAAGAAGGGGGCTCATATTGAAGCTTTGTGCCCCCCGAGACGAGGTCATTGTTGTAAAAGGGTTTCTGGTTGACAGTTGGGGGCGCTTCCTGGTTACATTGGTGACGTCGATGTTCGGGTAGAAGTGCGAACGCGCAGATGCAGATGGCGGAGAGGAAAACTCCACCGGAGGCAGGGGAGTTCGCGGCAGGCAAAAGAAGCACCGCAGCGTATCCGTACAGTTGTGAGGGACTGAGAGCTGAAAGAGGATGCATGAGAACGGGTCTATTGGATGCTGCATTTCGTTCTCGCTCACCTTGATCCATTCGGTCAATAATATTGTTATATTGGATAAGATAGACATCGCGGTATCCAATTAGTGTGAAATACAGTCATCTGTATTCTTGGATGATGAGCCTGCTCTATGCCGCGAATGGTGTTTTCGTCTAGTTACGCAGTGCCTGCGTCTGACCAGTTCTCTCTTTCTCTCACGAAGAAGCAAGTGAAGAGGGTTCAAGTTCTTCAAGGGCGAGGCTCTTGTGCCTGTTTTCAACGAACGGATCTACGGATATACAGGATATTTCTGAAATGTCAAGGGTTCGAGTGAACCAGGTCCTGGAACTGATTGTGTGCATAGCGGAATGGCGGAATGGCGGCACTCGGGGAGACCTTCCCGGCGATTCTAACCTGGGTTTCTGGGGCCCGAGACAAGACAAGCCTTTTTGCCCCCGGTGTGGTTTAGTGCTGATCTGCCCACCACTGTAGCATGCCATGGTTCATGGGGGGAGCCCACGAGGCGGTGGGTGTAGGGGCCAAGGATGGATTGAGTGGTTGAGTTTGCTTGACTGGATCGAAAGAAACCCCCAGCCATCAATGATCAAAGCAGGCAAAGCAGCAGCAAGCCTTGCGCCGTTGACCGGCCGGCAGTTGGTTTCGGGGACTTGACCCAGTGTATGGATGGGCTTCCAAGAGGAGGGTTTGCTGTATTCATACACAGGTCTTGCTCTATGGTCATGAACCGTGGAGTACTAGTGTAAGGAATGTGAGCATGCGGATCCGGATCCTCACCTCGGTGTCTTCCCGCTCAACGTTTTTATCAGATCCGATGCTACGCGGGTGATAGCGAGGCAAAGGCACAGACGTAACCTGGAAGATGGGACGGCTGGGGGTTGTATTGCCCGTTGCTACTGGGCATGTAATGATCAAGGGGCTGGCGGGCGCGTTGATGCTGCGCGTATTCGTTCTTTGCCCCCATCGATCGCGGATTTCCCTCCGTGAGTGAATGCTTGGTCATCCATCATGTTGAATCATGATCATTGGGAACCAGTACCAAGTCATCATGCTGGTTCAACATTACCTGGTAGGCTTTACGTTGATGAAGCTGTTGATTCTAATAGGAACTTTGGTTGCTCAATCTCATGACCTGAATTAGCTTGTCGGATTAGTAGTGAACAAGTCACAGAGAGAGAGAGACAAGCGTTTCCCTTTCCCCTCTTTTCTTCGAGTGCCCTTGTTAAATTTGTTGGAGAGAGAAAGAGAGCGAGACGTTCCGCCGTGTCGCTCCCGGCCAAGTCCCCCAGTCGCCGGCCAGGCTTGAGAGTCCCAGAGAGTTTCCCCCCCATCCCCAATTCCCGCCGCGTTCCGCACGTTCTCTCCCTTTCCCTTTTGTTTCCCTCCTTATTCCCATCGCAATCTCCCCTCTTCGTTGTGTGTGTGTGACGCCGCCGCCGCACCGCAATTCACACTGCCTCTATCACCTGTTTATTCCCAGCGCAACACTGCGCAAACACGCACACTCCCACCGACGGCCTCCCTCCGGCTTTTTGAGCACCGGGCGACACCGACACCGATCAATTTACTTTCCGGAAGCTTTTTCTGCGCAAGAGCCCGCCCGCCCCCGCGCCGCGCCGCGCTGCTCCGTCCTCCGCTTCTCGAAATCTTGGCCTTTATTCCCGGCGGCAACGGAGGCACCGCTTTGGAAAGTTGTCAACCCAACCCGGCCGGTTGCGACGTCCGGGCGATCTAATTGTTCGAATCGGTCACAGTGTCTAAGTATTCCGTAAAATCTCTTACGACGCTCCGCCCGGACAGCCGGCCGCCTGCCCAATTGCGATTCTTTCGGTGAAGCATCGCCGTGGGCGTATCGCAAGCGGGGACAAGCAGGAATTGAATCGACTGCCCGTACACTCATCATCGCGACGCCATTGACAATCGCCATCAATTTGGTCTTGGCACCGGCCGCTCGTCTAACAACGTAACTCAGTCGTTGATTCACACCTTCGACTCATTCAATTGAGGCGCGCGCAACGTTTCAACCCGCCCACAATGGCGCCCAAAAACCATCTCCCGCACCCCCAACAGCAGCCCTTCACGCCGAGCTCGGCCTCAACAGCCTACGCATCGCCAGTACCAGAACACGGGCGTCTACCATCACTCACTCATCCTCATTCACAAAACGGAGGAGGAGCAGCAGCAGCAGCAGCAGCAGCAGCAGGAGCCGCAGCGCTCTCACCGACGACATCAGCGGCGTCGGGACCGTCGTACTCGACGCCCGTCGCGCGGCAGCAAACGGCGACGCCGAAAAGCTATGGCAACGGCAACGGCAACGGAACCCATCACCAACACCCGGATGAGAGCGTCGACGGCAACTCGGCTAGCCCCGATGACGGCGGCGACAAGGGCCCTGCGAGGAAGAAGCAGAAGCGGAATAAGCCTACGTTGTCGTGCTTTGAGTGCGTTGAGCGCAAGACAAAGGTTCGTTTGATTATTTTTTCATCTTACTGTCTGCCTTCTTGCTACCTGTGCTTCATGCCATGTTTTTCTTGTTCCGTGTTTTCATCTCATCTAATTTCTCATCATTGCGTGCTTGTTGCCCCCACACTGAACTGTGCTGTTGGTTCGAGCGTACCAACACGATTAAAGTTCAACGTCATGTCCTAAGTGGTCGTTTTGATCTCTGGACACATGATGATGCTACTTGCATGACGCTTGAATACGAGGTTCGATGCTCTTGCGCTTGGCAATTGGCAGGCAAACCTCCTATACCTTGTTTGTCTTGTCTCCTCGACGTTGCTTTAGAAGTGAAAGCTGCAGGTCATTGAAGTCTACTAAGTCATAGCAACATTCATACTGACACGCGCGCAGTGTGACCGAGGTCGACCCAACTGCCTAGCATGTATCAAGCGTCAGACGGAATGCCAATATGCAGCCGTGGCCACGATACTCGAGTAAGTTCACTCACACAGCTCTCGCGACTATTGTCGAGACTGTCAGAACATGATTAACAAAAAAGCAGAGAAACAACAAGATCACTCGCCAACGGCCGCCGCATGACAAAACCGCCCAAACCAAAGGGACCAGGCGACATCTCCACCATCCCAAACGTAGCAGACAGAGGCCTTATCGAAGGCCGCGGCTTCACCTCCCGCGGCACCGTCGGCTCCGTAGCCTTCTCCTCCTCCACGGGCCTCCTCTCCAACGTCCCTTACTCCCTGCCCACGGCCAGCAACGTCTTTGGCATCGGCTCCGAGCACCCCTTTGCCAACTACTGGACCTGCGAGGGCGGCCTACCCGAGGTCATCTCCGTCCTTCCCGAAAAAGTCCAGGCCGACATCCTGCTGGCGCAGTACTTTGAGTGCGTCGACCCGGTCTACCCCATGATTCACCGGCAGACCTTCTACGCCGACTATGAGCACTTTTGGAGCCTCAGCGCAGAGGAGAAGAACCGTGTCGATGCGGCGTTTGTGGGGCTCATCTTTGTGATGCTGGCCCTGGGCACGCAGTTCGTCACGTCGAATTCGCCGAGCGATGCGAAGCAGACGGCCGAGTTTTACGCGTCGGCGAGTAACCAGGCGCTGCGCATGTTTTCTTACCTGAGTGCTGCTTCGTTGCGCTCCATTCAGTCCATGGTGTTGTAAGCGAACCCCCTTCTTCATGTGAAGTATGCATATAGCAACCTTGGGACCGTGGATGCTGACCTGATTAGGTTGACATACTTTTTGATCAACGACAACCACGCCTCGGACGGATGGGCGTTTGCCGGAATACTTATCCGCCAAGCCTACGCCATGGGTCTACATCGTGACCCCAACATTGGTACGAATACTCAAATCATCTCCTGAAGAGCAACATAAACTAAACATCACCAACAGTAACCCCCGACGCCCCCATCTTTGAAAAGCAACAACGCCGTAAACTCTGGCAAGCCGTCCTCCTGCAAGACACCTTCCTCACAGTCCTCCTCTCCCTCCCCCCATCCGCAACCCACACCGACGTCAGCGTCGAAGACCTCGTCGACGACGGCTCCGCCATCGCCTCCTCGGACCCGACAGACATCGCCTACATCCGCGGCTCCTGGACCCTCGCCAACCTCGTCCAAGAAACAATCTGCTCCCCGCGCTCTCTAGATCTGCCCATCTGCGCCACCGTCCGCCACAAGTCCAAACTCATCGCCGACTTCCGCTGCGTCTACCGTTCGTTTCCAGACGTCTTTCGGTCCTGGGACGCAGAGAGCCTCGCGAGCCTCGCGCGGACGAATAAGCGCGTCGTGAGGCAGACGCTGTTTTTGACGAGCAATTATCACCACAACATTATGCTCGTGTACGCGTCCGAGAGCGCAGAGTGTCCTTCCAATACGCGGGGCACGCTGGAAGCGGCGCACGAGGCGATTACGTCGTTTTTCTTGTTGTTTGACATCTTTGAGCTCGAGGCGAGGGTGTGGTGGGTTTTCAACCACCGCGCGTTCCTCGAGGCGCTGTGTATTGGGAGCGTGCTGAGGGAGATGGGCAAGGACCCTGTTGCGGCGGAGGAGGCGGATCGGGATCCGTTGTTCCAGAGGGCTAGGAGTGATATTGGTGAGTTTTCGCCTTCCCTTGTTCTCTCTCTTTTCTCTCTTTTTTTTTTTTTTTTCTTTTCCATCATTCTGGGCTTTCTATTTTCTCACTCTCTGGCTTCATGTCCACTGTGTGCTAACAAACGCGATGCAGCAAAAATGATCAAGATCATGGTGCTGATGGGCGAAGGCGAGCAAGGGTCCGATGTCGCGCGAGCCCGTGTGCAGGTGTTGAAAGACCTCCTGCCACCCTTGTAGGATGTCGTTGCCGGTGTTATTGCTTGTTCATGCTCTCTTGGTTATGGCGGGGTTTGTTCCACGGTTCTACCTGTCAATCCAGGGGGCAGAACCGTAGAGTTGCGATTGTTTCGCAGATCTCTTGTTTCCCTGGTGGGGTGGGAGAGAGAGAGAGAGAGAGAGTCCGAGAGCCATGTTACATGCATGAGCAACTATGACTACGTAGTAGTTGACGCGTGGACGGGTGGGAGTCTTGACTACAATTATTTGTTTCTTGGGTGGTCAGTGGTGTAAAGCTTGAGCCTCGAGGAGTTGCGTGGTCTTTGTCCATGCTTGTTTTGTTTTGTTTGTTGCTTCGTCTCGTACATCTCCCCCTGCCGGCCCTGTATGCGTATCCGTAGGTTAAACCGTTTGGCAGTCTACGGCGGGGCGAGAAGGGGGCAGGGCAGCCGGGGAGAAGGGAGGAAAAGGGGGCGTTTATCCGTCTGTTTGTGTCTTTATTTTACAAGGTACGGACGGGTATTCCCACATTCAGGCGTTCTCACGGGACATGCTTGTATGTCTACGTTGGAAGGAGACTACCTTAGTGTATTGCTTAATCATAGGCGAACGAGCCTTCTTTCTTCTTCATCAGGCTCTTCTCCCCCTCCCTTCTCTCTCTGCATTGGGTCTGGTCTCGTCTTTGACCCCTCCGAACCTTCTCATCGTACCACACGTTCCACGCCGTCGTCGTTTGAAGGTGGATGGCCTCGTGGCCATTTATTCGGCTATTGATCGAGCAGGACCCGCGCGCCCACGGCGGCAACGAGGACTGTGAGTCTGTGACATGCCAAAATGTGGTCCGTGGAGGTATGGGTATGGGTCGGCTGTAGTGTATGCGCATGGCCACCCATTTCTATTCATTCTGGGTGGCATGGATGCAAATGGCTCCACCCCGATCGTGGACCGAGGGACCGAAAATAATCAAACAAGCCCCAAGGCAAAGGACCAGAAGCGGCGTGGCAGTCCATGAAGTCGGGAGCAAAAATGCGCGTCCATCAGTGAGTGCAGCAATGTGCCAGTGCCGAATTCCCATGAGTTCATCACTTCATCGCCTCGACGGTGGAGACCCCATCGCCTCGGAAGACTAGCGCCGCCCCCCCACGTTCCGGTGCTTAGGTACGGTAGCCCGTGGTTCGGGATCCACCCGACGCTGCGGTTTGCCCAACAGTGAGAAGAACACCAGCGACCAACAACAGTGGCCAGTCTCGAAACAAATGGGACACTGCAGCAGTCTCTGCATACTCTGATAAGTCTATGAGTCTAGCTGCAGTGTATCCATAGTCAGCAGGGCGGCAACGCCCATATACTACCTCACTTGGTACTAGTGTTGTCCTCGGTCGAGAAGAAACAGGAGCAGAAATATTTCCCAGGGCCGTCGCATCAACCCCACCAGTCCGATGCTTAGCTACCATGCGCTGGTTCCTATTGGTTATACGATAGAAGGTGGGTCCCGGCGCGGAACTGGCAGCTCGGAGTGCACGAGCCAAGAAACAGGTACGTACCGGACGAAAATCGAGGGACTCGTCAGCTCATCGACGCTGATTGGCCACGACCGGTCCAGCGGCGCCGAGAGGATTGCGCAGCTCACGCAGCCCCAATCTACGCAGCGCAGGTTGGCAAGTGCGAATGTCCCTGAATTGAATAGAATGGTGCCCACTTGCCTCCTCTGCTCTCAGTGTGCACTTGCGTGTACGAAGTACTCCCGTACCTTAGGTCCTCACCTTAAGGTACCTCAAGGTAGAGAAGGAAGGGACTGCGCGTCCCTCGACACTGCCTCTCTCCTTCCCTGGGTGTGTTTGGTTTCCATCTTTTTGCCATCCTCCAAGTTTCATTTCACTTTTTCTCTCTTTCTCATTCCTCCTTCACCAATCTCACAGTTCATCACTTTTCATTCTCAGTGGAAAGTGTGAATACCTTCCACTCGTTCATCTTTCATACTTGTTTCGTTTCCACTAAGGGGGCGGGTTTTTGTAAGTGTGTGTGAGTGTGTGTGAGTGTGAGACACCATCGACGGTGTAAGACGACTGGACTAGCAACAAGTTGGCACACCGAACCAACCCACACCATCGGCCAATACACGACTCAACGACATACATATCTACTACGTACACCTACCTAGGCAGCCATTTATCACCTTACCCTGCCGTCCACTCTCCATCATTCCTTCACCCTTCACTCCTCGTCATCCCGACCTTACCTAACTTAACTCAACTCAACTCAACTCATCACAACAAAAGGACGACGGACGACAAGGACCCATTTTCTCTAGGCAGAGGGATTCCTCAAATACGAACATTTGGTGATTCGTAAACGCCTCGACAAAGCCAGGGGTTGACGACCCGTCGAGTCTCAACGAGGGTAAACCTCAAATCCCATCCAACAACCAAACATCCCCCAAACCGCCCATCATGCGTGGCTTGGCGCAGGCTCTCCTGCTCGCGCCGGCCCTCGTCGGCGCTGCCCCGTCCAAGATTGGTATGGAAAAGGCCACCGGTATGTTTTCTACTCTCATCCCCCATTCCGCAGTCTCGTCGCCATTTCATCATGACTAACATTTCCCAGATGCCTCCCCATCCACCTTTGTCACCTTTGACATCCCACCGGGCTTCAACGAGGACCAGACCAAGCCCTACGTAAGTTCATCCTCTGATCATCCAAAGTACCTCAAACCTAATCCTTCATAGACCCTCCACTTGGAAGTCCTCGAGGCTCCCTCCCCATGTGCCTACCCTAACATCAAAGTAAACGACAATGCCCTCTCCCAGGGCGGTCACACTCTCGGCCGCGGTACCTTTGCCGGTGACCACGACGGATCAACCTTCATCGCCTCCTGGTCCGCAACCTGCGCTGGCGACGAGCAGCTCCTCCGCTTCACCCTCGAGTCCCTCTCCGGCCGCACCCTCGCCTCCGACCTCGCCTTCGTCGCCCGCTTCCGCCAGACCGCCCCGGCAGCCATCATCGAAGTCGCCGGCAACGTTCGCACTTCGGACGTCCACCCACCTCCGCCCTCCCAGACGCTCCCCGAGTTCGAGGGACACCCTCCCCGCCCGGGTGACGACGAGGATGGACTCCTCGAGGATCCTCCATTCCCCCCGCCGCCTCACCACCATGTTGGTAACCACCCGGATAACCACCCCGGCGAGCAGGGACAGCGCCCTCCTCACCACCGCCCCGGCCACGACGACGATCACCGCCGCCCTCACCACCCCGAGGACCGCCCCGAGAACCACCCCGAGCTCGACGAGAAGGTCCTGGCGGAGCTTGACGACCTCGAGTGCATGCGCCACCAGCTCCATGCCTTGAAGCACGCCATCCACGAGAAGGAGTCTCGCCTCGCACAAGATCACGGCATCTTCCCTCCCAGCCACCGCGGCTTCCGCTCCTGTGACTCCTTGAAGTGCGTAATCGACACTCTCATGCACCGCGTCCGCGGCGGTGGCGGCCCAGGTTTCCACGGCAAGGGCCGTTACCCCGGAGGCCCCGGAGGCAGAAGAGAAGGCCACCACCACGGCCGTCGTCCCCACGGTCCTCCCCCCTCGTGCCCAGGCTTCCCCTTCCCCGGGCATGGCGGCAACCACACCAAGGGGAACCACACCGAGCCCCCGCCGCCTGGTCCTCCTCCTCCGGGCTTCTGCCACTGCCTGCCGCCCCCTCCCGAGGGTCCTCCCGACGGACCCCCTGAAGATGCCCCTGAGCCGCCCCCGAGAGGACCTCACCACGGCCCTCCTCCCCCGCCGTTTGACGAGCCTCCTCATGGACCTCCTCACGACCACCACGGTCCGCCGCCGCCTCCTCCCCCCCC